CTGGCCTCCCAGCAGCCTCCTGCACAGATGTCAGCTGATCCTCGGCCCCCCAGACGCTGCCGCCTCCCCCTCCTCCTTTCCTCCTCCTCCCTCCATTTCCAACACTCTCCATTCCAGCCAGACTGAGCTCCCCACACTTCGTTAATTCTCACCTCTGGCTTCTGCTCATGCTGTTCTCTTTCACCCGCCACCAGTGCCCCCGGCCTGTGTCTTCTCCACCTGGACCCCTCCTGCTCAATAAGTACCCTCCAACCCCAGCTCACCAGCCCTAGACAGTCTTGTGCCTCCAAAATCTCGGTCCGCGGCCATCCCATCATACCCAGTAACTCTTAATTGAACGTTGTCACGGGCTCTGTGAGACGTTCAGTCTTGCCAAACATGGTGTCTTATTCAGCTCTCAAGGAGCCTCTGGGGGGAATGGGACTCATTCACTCCATGGTTGATTCACTAGGGTCTGGCATCCATCCATTCCTCTCCACTCAAGCCACCCCCAGGGCGCAGAGGCCTCGCCCCAGCCTCCTGCTCCTTCGCTGCCCACCTGCTTCCTTCTTCCCTTGGGACCCGTAGAACCTAAGCCCCTGCCCAGCTCCTCCTTCACAGGAAAGACACTCCTCCGTGTCCTGAGGATTGAGGACTTGGGCGGCATCTGTCCTTGAAAATGTAGCCAGGAAGAGAAGGTCGGGCATTGTTCCCTTTGCCTTAGGGCGCAAATGTGAGACAGTGCCGCAAGCCTCTTGCAGGGCAGAGTGAAGGAGGTGAGTTGGCCATGCCCCAGATCTGTGGAAATGGGCCCGGAGCAGCGAGCTTCCCTTACGTCCCACCCATGCCTTTGGGCTCCTCATGTTAAAGATCGTTGGGATTCTGCCCTGGCCGGTTTGGCTCAGCGGTTAGAGCCTCGGCCTGCGGTCCCGAGAGACCCGGGTTTGGTTCCTGCTAAGGGCATGTACCTCCGTTGCAGTTTGTCCCCGGCCCTGGTTGGGTCGTGCGGGTGGCAACCACTCGATGTGTCCCTTTCATGTCAATGTTTCTCTCTCTCTCTCTCTCCAACCCACTCTACCTGAACAAAATATCGAAGAAGAAAAAAGATGGTTGGGATTCTAACTGCAGAGCGCCAGCCTGTGGGAGCTTGACCCCCACAGTGTTAGAGCATTCTGCGTGGCCTCTCTCTTTCAACTCTCACTTCGGCCTTAGGAGCTGCGAGTTATTTTTATTTTCAGTTCACAGATCAGGCAGCCAACTGGTCTCCCCACACGGAGGACGGGTAGGAGATGGTTCAGCCACAACTGAAGGCAGAAGGGAGGGTGAGCAGGGATGACAAGGACTTCTAGAATCACATCCTTTCTCTTTCTGCCCCTTGTTCCCAGGTCTCTTCTTTTCCACTTCTAGTAGAGAAATGGAAGAGAAAGAAACCAATGAAGTACGAGCAAATAGAAGGAAGTAAAGGCACATCCTTGGCTCCGCAGTGAGGGGCACCCCCACCGCTGCCCACAGAGGTACAGCGGCAGGGGACGGGCCAGCCCACGTGAGAGAAGGGCGCGGCTCCCTCTGACTTTATAGCAACCACCTTCCTGGGACCTCCAAAGACCAGAGTCCGAATCCTCTCCACCCCGCTATGTGTCGCAGCAGAGTCCCCTTGCCCAGCCACCCCCCCCCCCCACGACCTGGAGCAGTGAATATGTACTGCTCCCCAAAGCCCCGCTGGGCTTCTCACCTGGTCTCATTCACACCTGCCTGGAGCAGCTTCGCTCCTCCCCCAGCTCCTCCCCCAGCGCAGCCGCCATTCTCCCAGGCTGACAGCTCTCCCCAGGCTGCTTGGCCCTCAGTCCATCCTCCCCCTGGCCCCAGGGGTCCTGAATGGGCAGTATGGCAACCAGAGCTTCCCAACCCCATGCCTGGCTCCTGATTACCCTTGCCTCCAATGTGTCTTGCCCCAGACTCCAGTTCCCCAAGACGAGGGTCCTTTAGAATGCCGTCCCTAGGGAGTCACCCCTGGCACAGAGATCCAGGCTCCTGCTGCAAACGCTCTGCTCATCTCTTTTGAGGAAACTCTCAACCTCCAGTTATTGAAGGACAACAAGTACCGAGATGGATGAGCCCGAACCTCCGTCACGGGCAGCATTCATCAGCACAGCATACAGGTCCACAGTGCCCAGAGTCATCCCCCGGGCCTCACACCCACTGGGCAGTGGCCATCTCCCACACCCCTTCCTCCTCTCCTCCTCCAGCAGAGGGTCTCCACTCTCTGGCAGGCTTGGCTGAGTGGCCCCATCACAGTGCCCACCCCGACCCCAGCTGCCCAGGAGTGTGCTCACCTCACCATGCAGGCGCTCCCAGGAGCTGCCAGTGTATCTCAGCACAGTAGCTTCTTCTCTCAGAGCGGGCTGCCAGACCTGTCGCCAGGCCAGCGGGCCAGTGCGGTGGGCGGGGAGTCAGGCAGGAGTGGCCCAGTGCTTCCCGGCAGAGCCCTGCCTCCAGCCGCCCTGCCTCCCGGGGCATTGGAGTGGGAGAGCCTGTCTCTGTCTGTTGGCAAAGTCCAGTCAAGGCTGGGGAGTAGCCGAGGATCCCAGATGTCAGTGGACTTGCCAGTGTAGGTCTGGAAGGGAGGGGACAGAGAGGAGACAACCTGCGTACAGGTGCAGCCCAGTGTACTGAAGAATGCCCTCCCTACAGTGCCCTCTGCTGGTGAGTGGCACTCCCCAGCCAGAGGCTACTGAAATGCAGAAGGTAGGAGCAGGGAACCTAACCAGAGCCTCTCAAACTATATCGTGCACAAAAACCCCCTAGGACAGCGGTTCTCAACCTGTGGGCCACAACCCCTTTGGGGGTCAAACGACCCTTGCACAGGGGTTGCCTAAGCCATCAGAAAACACATATTTCTAATGGTGATTTATACCATTAGCAAAATTACAGTTATGAAGTAGCAACGAAAATAATTGTATGGTGGGGGGTCACTACAACATGAGGAACTGTACTAAAGGGTCGCAGCATTAGGAAGGTTGAGAACCACTGACCTAGGGATCTTGTTAAAATTCAGGTTCTGGTCCCATCGGTCGGGGGTGGGGCCTGAGATGCCACATCTCTAAAAAGCTCCCAGTGGGAGGACAGAGAAGCAGGGAGAGGACAGAGAGCACAGAGAGAGTTAATGAATCTCAGTTTGCGGTGACATCGGTGACATCGGGTGTCCCCAGGGCTCTTTCCACCGCCTGCACTCCCGGCTGGCAGGGACGCAGGGACGCAGGGACACAGGGATGCTGGGGCAGAGCTGAACTTCAGGCCATTTGCCAGCCTGCGTCCTTCCTTTGAAATTCCATCTGGGAAAGATGGTGCCGCTGGAATGAGAGCTCCCAGTGAAAAGGTATTTTTTAATGGGTCTTTAATTGCTGTATTAATTTATGTTAGCTGTTTGCTGCTGGACCCGCGGCTCCTGGTGGCCTGATTCACAGTAGGTGGTCCACAAAGACTTGTTGAATGAATGAGTGGACCAGCGAAGAGAAAAGGTATGTTTCAGATCCAGACGGCCCACACTGAACCCAGGTGACCCGCCTGCCAGCTAGGTCATCTTAGGCCACTATCTCAACCTCTCTGAGCCTCACTTCCCTTGTCTGTCAACTGCAGATAACGTCTACCTTGTGAGGGATGAGTGCTGCCTTTACTGAGCTAATAAACATAAAGCACTCTACAGGAAATGGTTCTAAGCAAGTGATAACCCGTATCTCCATGGTCTGGCCTCCTGCAGTTAAGGAACCCTGGTGAACTCCCCAAGCTTCTCAGCTATTATCTCCCCCCAAAAATAAGTAACTGCCACTGCTTTCATCTCAGTTAATGATTCTCTAGCCTCTGACTGCAACCCCACCCTCTGCTGCCTTCCCCAGGGTGGAGGCTCCCAGGGTCCCCAAAGTGGAGAGGTGGGCGAAGGAACGGCGGAGAGCAGCCCACCTGGAATGGGACCTCACACCTGAAGCGCAGGCAAGGGCAGCGCTCAGAACTTGGATGGGGATAAGGGGAGATGTCAGGCTTTCCCGGAAGAAGCTCTGTCTGAGTCTCAAAGAAGTCTGTCTTCTCTGTCATCAAGTTCCGAGCGTGAGGTCCAAGCCAGAAGGGCTGTGCCCACCAGCAGGCGACAAACAGGGGCTGTGCCATGTACTATCACCCCATTTCCAAAGCTGGCACTTGAGGTCAATCCCAGTTACAGGAAGGTTCTACAGAATCGGAGGGTCCCTCACCACCCCGGGGGACACGGCGCAGGTTCACGCAATGCAACGAGTAGCCTTCAGCCTGGGGCTGAGCTGTCTCGGGAGATCGGGGTCTCATAGTGTCAAAATCTCAACCACCCATCAGGGGTCCCACCAGAGGCCACAACAAACAGACCAGGGTCCCCTGGTCTGAGAGAGCCCTTCGGGCCATGCAGACAACAACCTAGGCTCCCGGGCCAATACCACCACCCTTGTCATTGAAGAGAGGCGGGCCAGCTGGGAGTCCACTCCACCCTTTCCCCTCCCCCACCCTCCTCTGCCTTTCACACATCATATGTCATCGGGTCCCCAGTCTGGGAGGTGTGCTGTCTGAGGTAGGGGGAACACGGGCCTGGGGATAAGGAGGTGCTAGGAGTGGTGGTGAACAGGAGGAAAGAGGATGGGGTGGGAGGGTAGGCCTCCAGCACTGGGTAGAATAGAAACACAGAGCTGGACAGGAAGGCAGAGGTGAGCAAACAGACAATGAGGAGCAGAAACAGGTAAGTGGAAACAGCAGGCTGGCCAGCCCTTCCCCGGAACTTCTGGGGCGTGGCCAAGGGCCCTGGACAGGGGGGCATGGAGGAGGCAGTCAGCCACTGAGAACAACCACCGTCATTTTCCCTCCAATCCTGTCGATCGTGGGGGGAGACTGACATATCGTGTGCAAATGAGCAGAAGGATGTGGGGTGGGGGCTTCGGTTGGAGGAGGGTCGGCTCATCGCCCAGGCGGGAATGACACGCACGGTGACGTGTACATGAGCATGCAGCTTCTTCACAAAGATCGTGTTGTTCCCCGAAAAGTCAGGCCCAAGAAAGCGGGGCGGGTGTGTTTGTGGCACTGAGCCTCTGGAAGTGGGCAGGTGTAGGGAGACCCTCCCCCAGCCCCCGAGGGGAAGAGGAGGCCTGAGGCTCCAGAAAACAGAATCCGGTGTCCCACGGCTGAGTTTGAATTCAGGTGGGAGCTCGGGTGGGTGGGCCCTGGGTGGGTGGGCCCCGGGTGGGTGGGCCCCGGAGAGGGCCAGGCTGGTGGTGCAAGATAAGCCCCGGGCGGATGGGCTGCCCGCTGTGGACTAGAAAAGACCTCAGGGATCCCATGGGTCAAACATGGTCCTTTCGGGCCGGCTTTGTCAGCTTGGTTGAGTTCAGTCTAAGACGCTGTCCTTGTTGAGGGCCTGGCCACACGCCACCTGCTGTGGAAGGTGCAAAAGATGGACGGACGTGGACCGAGCCCCAGGATTCAGACTCGTTGCAGGAGAGGGACATTTAACTCAGAAGCAGTTATCACGACTGGGCAGTCCCTCCGAGTGCCAAAGGAGAGGTGTAGGGAAAATACGTCCGTGGAAACCAGAAAAGGGGCCAGGCACCTGGGCTCACAGGAGGGGCGGGAGTGGGCCAAGCAGGGAGACAGCCTAGACCCCCTGCGGGGTCAGGGAATAGTGTCGGGCGGGAGGGGGAAACTCACGAGAAACACAAGGAAAGGACGGAGGGGAGGGCTCGCCATTAGCGTGTTCTCTGCCCCCCCCCCCCAGATTGTGCCTCTGCGAGGAGAATGTGGCCTCAAGGGGCCATCTTTGTGGCCCTGCCCCACCTGGGGCCCATCCTGGTCTGGCTCCTCGCCCCGCATAGGATGTCTGGTTGGTGCAACAGCCCGAGGAAGCTACCCTGGTGCCCACCCCACAGAGTCCTGTTGCTTGTGTGGACAGCCATCTACTCTGTCGTGGGGTGAGCACTCGTTTCTCATGCCGTGGTACCCCTGGGGTGGGAACAAGTCCCCCTGCACCCGAACCACTGCTGCATACTAACCTCCAAGGGGATGGCACCCCAGCTTGCCTCTTATGGTGGGTCTCTCTGTGCCCACCTAGGATTCCAGCCAGTCCTCTCCACGGCTCCCCACCCCTCCCCCACCTCCATGCCCAGCTGCCCCAGCCTCCTCCCAGCCCTCAAATGATGCCCAGACACACTTGCCCTCATTGCAGCCCACAAGGAGCCCTGTGTCAGAGGGCTTCCTCCATTTGTCATGGGACATCTCTGCCACCATCTCTTCACAGCTATGCCTCCTACCTGGTGTGGAAGGACCTGGGAGGGGGCTTCGGGCGGCCCCTGGCCCTGCCTCTCGGCCTCTACGCCGTGCAGCTCTCCGTCAGCTGGGCCGTCCTGGTTCTCCTGTTCGCAGCCCACACCCCTGGCCTGGTAAGGTGCACCGTGGGAGAGGCCGGAGCTGGTGAGGCCCCAGGCCCCAGCAGCAGGTAGCACCGCAGATCGGTCAGGGGCCGGCAGGTGTCAGGTGGGCAGACTTCTCTGGGCTCCGGCGGAGTGCACAGAGCCCCAGGACTTGGCTCACGGGGTCCAGGGTGCTGCAGCAAGGTTGGGGCCCGTTCTCAGGCCAGCCTGCCTGACCGCCCTGCCCCCACCCAGGCCCTGCTGCACCTGCTGCTGCTCTACGGGCTGGTGGTGAGCACGGCGCTGACCTGGCACCCCATCAACAAGCTGGCCGCCCTGCTCCTGCTGCCCTACCTGGCCTGGCTCACGGTCTTTGCTTCCATTGCCTACCGCCTGTGGAGGGACAGCCTTTGTCCAGAGCTCCAGCCGCAGCCCGCCGGAGACAAGAGTGACTGAGGCACCGGGCACAGGAAAGGAGGAAGGCCGGGAGCAGTGGCCGGACTGCAGGCGGGCCGTGGGGTCGGGGGGGGCCGGGCACTGATGAGCCCTGAAGGTGACTCGTCCCAGTGTGGCCACTGTCCTGGGTCCCTTGCTGCCAACTTTCATTAGAATTCAAAGAAATGAGAGAGAGGAATAAAATTTATTTTACACTTAATATAAGTTAATAAATACTGTATGAATAAATATTAATTTACCAATGTCAGTTAATAAAATCCTGAGACTATCTGAGGGTGTGACCTGGAGGCCATGTTTGCGTGTATGATGCCAGGGCCACGGAGTGGGCCTGGAAGTGTGTGCACATGTGAACACGTGTGTGAGGAGGGTGACACACCATCTCCATTCCACTCCCACGCCCTCCTAAATCTGGCCCAAAAATGTAGACTTAGCTTTTTAATTACGTGAAAAATGAAATCTTTTTGAGAAGTCACATAAAAGAAGAACAGAAAAGTAGATAAAGTAAAAAAGAATAATAACTTTACATCACATTTCTATATTATATTTTATTATATATTATATTACATATATGATATTAATCTTACTTAATTAACTTATTTTAATTAGTATATTATATTCCTTCTATTAATGACCATATTTAATATATAATATGGCTATAAGATAGATATACATCATATATGCCATACTAAGTCCTGATATGATTAATATAAGTAACATTAAAGATCACTTTTTTGTTTTCATATACTCATACTATTAGTTTTTTACATCAATTAATGACCATTACAATAAGAAATAAACGTTGCAAGACAGGAGCTGTAAGGCTCGGTGCTGACGAGTGAAGGCAGTAGGAGCTTCTTGTCCGGGCTCGGAAGCGTCTTCTCCTTCTGAACCTTCTCCTTGCCATTTTTATCTCCGTCTCTCCCGCTTCTTGTTTTCACCTCCTCTAGTCTCCAAACCCTACTGGCAGCAAGACACGACCGCCCTGTGGCTCCCGGCCCAAATCCGAGCAAGGCCAGAGGGGAGGCCGGACACCTTGCCCAGGGGCTTGTAACAACACTAACCAGGCGCTGGGGGTGGGCCTGGGCACCGGTGTTTTTACAGCTGCCCGGGTGAGTGCAGGCTGAGCGTGAGCCCCGCCGCTGAGAACCCCTGCTGAGTGTGTACCAGAGCCATGGGGGGGGGGCGCTTATTAAAAGCACATATTCCCCAGACCCCACCCAAGACCTAGGAATCGGAACTTGGGGCTGGGCGCCAGGCACCTTGAGATTTCCGGAGCTCCCAGCACTTCAGTCCGCTGCTCGCTGCAACTGGAGAGCTCTGGGCACGGAGGGTCTCCGGGGGCCCTTTTCACTTCCACAACCTGTGCTTCTGTGACCTAGGCTCTGGGGCTGGAACACACTGTGTCTTCTTAGGCGGGGGGTCAAGGACCTCACAGCCAGAGGAAGCAGGACGTCCTCGTCTGGGGTGTCTGGATCTTTCTGGAGCTCACTGAGGAAGAACAATCTAGAAAGATCTGCACCCTCCCCACCTCCACACTAAGGACGTGCTCCGCCCAGAGGGCAGTTTGGTCACCTGCACTCCTGGAGGGCACACCGTGTCCCACCCTCCTGTGTGTCCTCAGCCCCAGTGCAGCCCAGGGCACAGAGCAGGCCTTAACATATCTTTGTTGATTGATTGATTGATTGATTGATTGATTGATTGATTAAATGAAGACATTGTCCCATTAAAAGAAAATGTTGACCCACACCCCACCAACACCTGTACCCACTCTGGACCAAAGAGCCTGTCTCCAGGAAGGGCGGGGCACTAAGAGCTGCTGAGATTTCTCAGGTGGTCCTGGAGTGCAGCCAGACTGGAACAGCCACCATAGGGCCTGGCTTCTGTGACCCGGCGACCTCCGGGGCTCGTCCAAGGCCTGGACTCTAGACCCGCAGAATCAGATCATCAGGAAATGAGGGCCATAGGGTGCAGTGGTTTGCAGTTCTGGCCTTGGGGACCCACAGCCTGGGCTGGGATACTGGCTCTGTCATTTGTTAACGGGTAACCTACTTCACTGCCTGTGCTTTCTGTATTCTCCTCCCCTGTAAAATGGAGTTTTGGGGAAAAACAAATGAGATAATGAGTAAAAAGAAGTCTGGCATGGAGGAAGTACTTAACAAATGTTAGCTGTTCTAGGAGGGTAGCCGGGATGCCACCCATTTAAAAAGATACGTGGTTCTGATTTATGCGACAATTAGAGACCCGGACTGCTTCAAGGCCCAACTGTGCTCCCCAACTGAGCCAGAAGAGCAAGTACCTGCCTCTCAGGTGTGTGGCCACCTGCCCAGGGCCTGGCCCGTCATCTTACACGGTCAGGTGGACTGTTTTACATTTTCTAAAGCTGTTTTAGTCAAGTTTATAACTCCATTTATACATATAACTGTTTTATTTATGTTTTTCTTTATTAATTTGAGAGAGAGAGAAAGAGATAGAAACATCGATGAGAGAGAACATCGACTGGCCACCTCCTGCATGCCCCCCACTGGGGATTGGGCCCACAACCTGGGCATGTGTCCTGACCGGGAATCGAACCGGCAGCCTCCTGGTGCCTGGGTCGATGCTCAACCACTGAGCCACACCAGCCGGGCCATGTAACTGTTTTAAATGTCTGAGTGCAATCTGTAAATCTTGACTGAGGATGGTTTGGGAGCCACTCTGCATGGTTCTCCACTATCGCTGTGGGGCCTTAGACGAGGGAACACCCTAGAAGTATTTGTCATTATTATCTTCATCATCTCATCTAAGCATTATAAATATGTGCTACCAATTTTATTCATGTTACCAACTCAGTCCAGGCGTTAAGCTGACCCTCCAGGAAGATGCGCCATGCCTGTCGCCTGACTTTGCCGTCTCCAGGGTGAGCTCATGCCACAAGCCCAGGTGGCCTCTAGTTTTGGAAACTTGGCCCTAGAAGGAAGCCTGATTTGGAACGTGTCCCACGCCCTGGAATGGTGTGACCACCTGACATGGCACGAGCCAAACTAAAGGGTTTCATGGCTTTGTCCAGAAACAGCCAGAAAGAGCAGGATCCCAACCCCAAACTCTCATCCTCTGACCCCAAACTCATCCTAAGAACCCTCCTCTGACCACCTCCTTGGTTCCTGGGTGGAGCTTCTAACCCCGAAGTCTCCAAGCCGCCTGGGCCGCTTCCCCCGCCCCACCTCCCAGTCCCGAACCTGGCCAGGAGCACACACCGCCCTGTCCCTCCTCTCGTTACCTAGAGTTGTGCCTAAATAGTCGGAGCTGCCTCCTGTCCTTGCCAGATGGGTCCCAGCGTTCCACCATCCTGTGTGCTTCTGTCCTTGGGCAGGGTTTTTCCATTGCCTCCGCCTGGGCCCGTGTGTCTGAGCTGACTCACTGGGTGGGTGGGGAATCGAGAGCTCTTCTTCCTCGTGCAGCTGCCCCCCGTCTGAGGAGGTGGGGAGTGCCCCGTGGCATGTCTCCTTCTCCTGTGTCCTAGTTCCTCCTTTCCTCCCCTCGGCCCTTCATTCTCCCTCCCTTGGCCAATGTCTGCGGACGCAGGCATCCAGAGGCAGGGCGAGGAGGGCAGGCCGGTCGGGTTCCGTGCCATGGACAGGTTGTCGGGGCTGAGGGTGGGCAGAGCGCAGGAAGGTTTCCTCTGGCATCTCTGGCGCCTCCCGCCTGCGGGCAGGTGGAGGTGATGCTGTGGTGGACGGTGAGGCCTCCCTTGTGTTGTCAGGCCCGGGGCCCAGGCCCCAAAGTCTGCCTTTCTGTGTGGTGGCCACCATCCACTCCATCTCCTAGGGCTCCCCTGCACCCCAAGCGCAGGTCCAGTCTTTCCAGAGTTCCCCTTTTTGCAGTTCCCGAAAACAAGCGTTGGACCCTTTCAGTTTGAGGACTAATTGCCGCTCCTCCATAGTGGCTCACAGGTTACCCATCCGAACAAAGCCTGGCTTTGGACCCCCTCTCCCATCTCCAGGAGTCCTCAGAGGCCCCTGCCCCCTTCCTGGGCCCCGCACGCTCAGGCCCCTCGTCCAGCGGGCCGCTGGGAGCAGCCCTCTCTGCCGCAGCAGAAGCTTCAGGGCATCCGTTCCCTCACCTGCCCCGCGCATGTCCATAGGCCTGAGGCCCCCAGCAACCCCAGAAATTATCTGCTCAGGGGAGCACCAGAAAAGCCCTCCCCCTCGCCTGCACCTGCTCCCACACATGTCTAAGGGTGGAACTTCTCCTCTCAAAGGTTGGTTGGTAAGTGTCTTGCTTTCTTCTAGTAGCTCCTTTGCCCCCGCAAACACCCCTTCGAAGAGGAACACCATTAGTCACCATAATACGTATGGTTCTTATCAGATTACTTTCCTCAAAGACACCGCGAAGGGAGCCGGGCACTGGTAGTAGCCGCTGGGATGGAGGACTGAGGTGCCCAGGACTAAAGTCCTGGGTGTCACCATTTGGCTCAGAGCAATGTGACCTGCATGGCAAGCCAAGTGTCGTGTCCTGCACAGGAGGAGACTGGGAATCCTGGCCTCTCCTGTGTTTCTAGTGCTTTCTCCAATCCCAACCTCAGACTCGGGGAGACCCTTGGGCCCCTCCTCCCACCCAGCCAGAGCTCTGGACACCCCGTGTTTATGTCAACAGAGCGGTTGCTAGAGGGGCGGGCTCCATCAGCAGGGGCTGTCCAGCCGTTATTTGTGTACCTCGTCTCAGTAGTGACCACGGGGCTGGCACTTTCGAGCTGGGTCTCTGGGGCAACGCACTGTTGGGGTCCCAGCTGTTCCTGCACATAAAGCACCCATTCCATCAACCTGCTCCCGGGGAGTCTTGTTTCACAGAATGAGAATTTAAACCTTCCCCTAGTGAGGCTACTATTTTCCACCAGCCGCCTCCTGGCCTCTCTACTCCCTTCCGCAGGAGGGCAGCTTGGCATCCAGCCGACACCCAGGGAATAGCTGTGCCTGGCCGTGTGCCCTCCTCCCTGCCACGTCCTAGCACCTCCGAATGTTTCCTGAAATGACGATGGGAAATGGGACAGGGAGAGGCAGACTGTGGCTTCTTCTGGGCCGAACCCAGTCCTTCCAGCCACTGCCAGCTGCACAGAGGGGCGGGGGCCCTCGGGGAGGGACGGGGGAATTCCCTTTCTGGTTTGCATCCCCACTTACCAGCCGCTGGTGTCTTTATGCCTCTCCCCCTACACATGTCCCTCCC